AAGTAACAAAAACTGAAGAAAAAATTATAGGGTTTAAAAGAAATGAAACAATTAGTGGAAAAAGCGTAGATGATAAAATTATTACGAGAGTTAAAGAGAAGGTTAACAATGATTTTCAATTAAAAGAATATAAAGATAAACTTGAAAAGAAATCAATAATAATGAAACTTGAAAGTTGTCTACACCCATACACTTTTATTAGAGGTTATTTAACAATTTCATTAATAGGTATTATTTGTACATATACAGAAGCTAATAACTTATTATCAACTACTTTTGAAATTTCAGAAGAAGAATTTGATGAAATAATTAAAGATGATATTAACCAAATTCAACAAATGATAGAAGAGTTATGTCAATCATGTAACATAGATAAATCTAAAATAAATAATGTTTTATGTATTGGAGGATATTCTCATTTAAAATCATTTAAAAGTATGATAAACAAATTGTTTCAAGAGTCTCAATTAGAATTAAATAATTCATTTGATAATAAACATGCAATTGCTTATGGACTTGTTATGACTCAATTAAAACACATGAAAAAAGGATTAACAAATGTACCGTTTTCTATTGGAATTGAAGGAAGATTTGGCAACACCATATTTTTAGTAGAAAAAGGAAATGATTTACCACATCAAAAAAGACTAATAGTAAATGTAACAGAAAGGAAAACTATAATTCCTTTATATTTTGGAGAGTTTGTAGTAGTTACTGAATCTAAGAAAGTAAATGATTTGATTTTAGAACTTCCATCTAAAATTAAATTACCAGCAACAATTCAATTATATTGTTATTTGTATAAAGATGGTCAATTAAAAATAGAATGGAACCAATCACAAGAAGAGGCTAAAAAAACTATTTTAGATATTAACCTTCTTAGTATAAATGAAGAAAAATTATCTAATGAAGAAGAAACTCTTTGTATTAAAAGAAATGAAATTCGTGTTAAATTAAAATTAAAACAAATATATGATGAAATGAAAAATACTATTGAATGTGCTGAGGTTGAAGAAGAATATGACCCACTTCCAATTTTTGATTTTAACTCTAAAACCAAGGAAATAGAAAATGTTCTGATTAAAATTTGGGAAATTTTCTGTAAGGGGTGTGTAAATAAGGAGAAAATAGACCGCATAAAAAATGAAATGAAATCTTATAACATAATCATGAAGAAAGAGGAGTAACAAAATGACACCACTTTATTTTTAATTCTTTTTTGTTATCAGCTAATTAACAAGAATAATCAATTAATTAAAGAAGTAGTAGAAACATTTCAAAATATTCAACAATCAATTAATGATATTATTAATAATTATCAATATTATTTAGGAAGTATTAAAAAAGAGAGAAGAATAATGAGAGGAATGAAAGAAATAATTAAATAGAAGAATTAACAATTAGAAAAATGTTCAATAGAGTAATTGAATCAGATAATGACAAATGGAAAGGTGATATAATATGGGTTAAACAAAACAACGTGAATAAAGAATATCTAATAACAACTCTTGAAGAATCAGAATGAAATAAAAATATACTTTAAAAGTACAATTGAGAGTGTAGATGAAATTGTAGAATGATGTTTGAAAATCCAGAATGTTTTAAATTGAATAGATACTAACAGAGAAAGAAATGAATAAAGAAAAATCAAATAAAGAAGTGAGAAATATTTAATTGGTTATTTTTAGAGGTATAATACCAACTGAAGAAGAAATTTTAATTGTGAAAAGATAATTCAAAATAAGTTACAAAACAAATAATAAACAACAAATCATATAAATGAATAAACCAAGTACAACACTAAAAGATATTATCTAAAAGAAATCACAACAAACACTAATGTAATTTTAATGAAATATCTTTTATTTTTTATTATTTTTAAATGTCAAATTAATATATATTCATAATTTGATATTATACATATTAAGAATTGAATATTTCTTGTTTTATTATGCTTTAATTATAATTTACAATTATTTTACCACTTGTATTGTATTAGAATGTTATTCTTCTAATGTGCTACAAGAATTTCTTTGTAAAACAACAAGTCTTTCATATTTTTGATTATTATTATTTGTAATATAAATTGGGAAAGTCTATTTTTAATTTTATTTTCTTTATTCTTCTTACAATATTTGTGTATCAATCCATTTATTGGTAATATAACAAGTATTATTTCTACATAAAATAATTCACAAATTGTCGTTAGTTTTCATGTAATTATTTATATTTAATTTATGAATATCAAATAATTCTACACTCACACAATGACATATGACAACAACTAATATATCAATTCATAATTTTCATATTTTGATAATACACATCTTGTTTTTATCCATTCAAGAAATAACAATAACTAATGAAACAATAAAGTAAATTATGACTATTTCATCATTATTAATACCGTTATGAGTAATATTAAAACATAATGCATAAAAACAGTAAAAAGGTAATCAATACGTATATAAATATTTGTTTACATACATATTTATGTTTTGATATTTTGTTCTTCAATGAAATTAATATGATATTTAATTCTAATATGATGACACTATTTGTTTCTAAATGAATTAATGAATAAAATACATATTACGATGAAAATGAATGAAAATGTGAGTTAAATGAAATATAACAATAATGAAACAAATTATATTATAAAGATAAAGTGAATAATGATGTATTTCCGTTAATACAAATAATACGTATTTTCACAGATTCATCTAACAATTATATTTGTTGATTTATATGAATTTCTCTTTCTTTTATTATTGGTTTTTATATTCTTTGTAGTGCCTCATGAAATAAATCTCTTTTTTAAATGGTTAATAACTAAACATTTAATAAAAAGAATAAACTTAAATGATAAAGAAAATGATTGTAAAATTGTACAAAATGATTTATCTGGAAATAAATCATTCAAGAAACATAATCAATGAATAAAATAATAAGTATTTTTAGAAATATGATTAATAGAAACAAATTTAATTAATATTAACTAGACTATTTTATTATTTTTAGCATACATCATTTCAAGATTTTTCTTTTTAAAACTTTAATTTTTATGATTCTTTTTATAAAAAGATAAATGCTAAAGACAACACAACATAATCAAAAAAATAGTAAATGTAACACTAAAAAGAATGTCCAAATAGATGAGCTTATTACTTGGGACGTTACAGGAAAAGACCATCCAGTAAATACAGGATATGAAAAGAATGAAGAAATGAATAAAAAAATAATAATAATAACAGGAGATATTACTAAAATCCAAGTGGATGTTGTTGTGAACGCAGCAAATTCATACCTAAGAGGAGGTGGTGGTGTTGATGGAGCTATTCATTGTGCAGCAGGTTATGACTTATATGATTATTTGTGTTCTCATTATACATACTGTAAAACAGGAGATTTTAAACCAAGTCCAGGGTTTAAAATGCCATGTAAAGAAATACTACATGGAGTAGGACCAATAGGTGAGAATGCTATTCAATTACAAAGTGTATATGTTAGATGTTTGGAATATGTCAGATTAAAAGGATATAAAAGTATTGCATTTCCATGTATTTCAACAGGAATCTTTGGTTATAACAATAATAGTGCATGCCCAGTAGTATTAGAAGTAGTAAGAAATTGGTTAGAGGTTAATCCATTATGGGAAGGTAAAATTATTTTTTGTTGTTATAACTTAACAGACTACAATATTTACTTGAAGTTCTTACCTTATTATTTCCCTACCACAAAGTTAGATGATAATGAACCAAAGAATATTTCAGATGAACTTGATAAAGAACAAGTTAAATCAATTAACACAGATCCTGAACAAGTTACAATTAGTAATAGTCAAGACACAGACAATGATTTCAAACAAAGGATCGACATTAATAAAAGGATGTTCTATTATTTAGATATAGAAGATTATGACTTATCTAAAGAACAACAAAAAGAATATATTGATGAATGTTTTGAACAATTTAAAGAAAAATATATTGAAGAAAAAAAAGATATTGAAGAATTATATGAAATAAAAAAGCCATGTTAAAATAGACAAACAGCTAAAAAATAAACTAATTGAATTATTTTAAAAATTAAATAATTTTTTTTGATAGTTAAAGTGAAGAACAAATGATTAGTTGTTCCATTGATACACTCTGATATAAACAAATTGAAAATGATTTTCTTTTTCAAATTCAAAACATTGTTCTGAGTTAAAACAGTCAAAAAAGTGTTTTCCACTATACTTAACTGAGTCAATAACACAATCATTTGTTTTAATATCCCAACAACCTAATATATAGAATAATGAATCTTTCTCTTTTGGAAAGAATAAAAGATGGTGGTTTGTTTCTCTAGGGATAAAACAAACTTCTCCAGTTTTGTTTGAATTTTTTAATGAAAACACAAACATATGCTTATCTTTAAATACATAACTATTCATTTTTTGTGGAATTTTTGAATGAAATGAACCAAAAACATTACCAGAGGTTGAGGTAATAACAAACATAATATTTCTTTTATCTTTAACAATTTTAAATAATACTTCACCAGTAATCTCATCATTTCTTTGATATTCAACAATAAGGCTTAGTGATTTTAACTGTGTATACTGTTTTAAAAAACAAAAACTTTCAGGACTTTCTTTAAGCGTATTAATATAACCTTTACATAATTGTAGTTGTAATTCTTCATTCTCTTTCTTTAATTCTTCATTCTCTTTCTTTAATTCTTCATTCTCTTTCTTTAATTCTTCAACTCTCTCAGTTGTTTTCTTTGGTCCTTCATTCTCTTCATTTGTTTTCTTTGAAAGGCTATCTTTTTTCAATTGTTTTACAGAATAGTCATTATTCATACTTGAAATACAGATGAATGATATTTGAAGAATTGAAGTTATGACAAAATAAAATTACAAAAAGGAAAAATCAAATTCTTAAAAAAAGTTATAAAGACAATTCCTTTTTCTTTTTTTTTTTTAAAAATCATCACTGAAACTTATTTTTTTCTTAATGTCAAACCAATACACTGTGCTTCCACAAGTTCCTTATTACACCCCAGTTCAACCACAATCATTTATTCAACCACCACCATTAATCCAACCACCACCATTTATTCAACCACCACCATTTATTCAACCACCACCATTTATTCAACCACCACCATTTATTCAACCACAACCATTTATTCAACCACAACCATTAGTTCAATCTATCCCTGAGCAACAACCAAAGAAAGAAAATAACGATTGTCAAGGGGCAACTATTCTTTTTATCTTAGGGTTCTTTATTTGTTTAACTTGGATAGCTTGTTATTGCATTTATAAAAATTCATCTGATTCACTTGCTAAAGTATTTGCTAGAATTTCTTTAGTTTTTTCCATTCTCTATGTCTTATTTGTTTGTGGTTTCATTGGCATTTATATTGTACTGGTCGTCTCTATCTTTTCTACTATACCTCAAATGCCATAAACAACAAAAATATCTTTAAATGACTTAAACGTACAGACACAATATTTATACATTTATTTTTTATCTTTATAAATAATAAGTTAAAAGAATTTGATAATTTAATAATATGGAGAGAGATAATTTCTGGTTCATTTAAAATTAGAAATTCTTTCATTCAATGAGTATGATGTATGAATATTTATTTGATAAGTTTTATATGTATTACATATTAAATATTTACTAGTATAATTTCAACATTTGTTGGCTTAATAAAATAGTAATTCCATTAATTTTTTAATTCTTTTCAAGTCATAACTCTTGTGATGTGATATTATTACAGTGACAATTACTACATCCATTAATTCTTCATAATAGTATAAATGTTCTTCTATTAAGTGATGCGTTTTATAAATAATAAGAAATATAATGTTTTTGATTTAATGAATTACAAAATTATTAAATAAATTTGTTTTTTTTTAAGTCAAATAATTCATAAATTTGATACAACATATAATTGTATGTATTAGTATAACTATTGTTTAATGAAAATGCTATAATATTACTAATTATTAGGTTGGTGGTAAATTTGACTGACATGTGAAATAATTTATTCATTAAATTGATTTTATTTCATTTTATAAATATTTTTAAGTCTTTAAGATCCTTTTCCAATGCAGGAAATACAACAAATTTTAATGCCATGGCTATTGTGTAAAACCTTAGGGTCTTGTAAAGAAAAGCAAACAAGACATAGAAATATAAGGTCATACAACAAAAAAAGAAATGTCAATAGCAATAAATGGCATAACAATTATAATAATAAAGGTAAACGATACATCAAGGAAAAAGGGTTTAGAAGACGAAAGACACAAAGAAAAACAAATAAAAAACAAGGTAAATACAATAACAATAAAGATTATACAAATAACAAATATAAATGGCTAACAATAAATGAGATACAAGAAAGAATAAAAAGAATAACAAATGAATGGAATGAAGGAGAATACGAAGAAATACTAAAAAAATATGAAGGTAAGAGGAAAAGATGGTATGATATCCTCCAAGAAGTATATTCAATTAAAAAGAAAAAGGTAATTGAAAAGACGAAAGAAGAGTTTAAAGAAAAAACAAAAGATTGGGAGGAAAAAGACATTAAGGCTATAGAAGCAGAAATTAAAAACAAAAACCCAATTAAAGAAATGAATGATAGATGTAAAATTGCAAGAATAATAAATAACAAACAAAGTATAATGAAAACACAAGAAGAAACAGAAAATAAAGAAGAAAAGATAGAAGAAGAAAAAGATAAAGAAGAAATACTTGCTCTGAAAAATCAAATTACTGAATTAAAAGAAAAACTTAAAGAATTCAGCATGGAAAGAATGGAAGAAGAACAAGCCATCTCAGAAGAAATGATGAGAAAAGCAAAAGAAATAGTTAGGAAAGAATTTGAAGAAGAAATTACAGAAATGAAAACACAAATTAAAAAGATTCAAACGAATTATGAAGAAATGAAGAAAGAAAATGAAAAATTAGAAGAAGAAAACTTAAAACTACAAGGAAAAATAAATGAGATAGAAGGAAAGAAAATCACAGAAGTAAATAATAAAGAAGAAAAAATCCGAAGCATCCAAGCTAATAAAAAGAAAATTGAAAAAGAAAATGAAGAAATGAAAGAAGAAATTGAAAAGCTAAAAAAGAGAAACAAAACGCTAGAACAAAATGCAAACACACTAGAGAAGAAAATTGAAACGATAGAGGAAAATACTAAAGAATTAAAGAAAGAAATAAGAGATAAAGAAAAACAAATCTCTGAATAACAAGAAATTGCAATTAAAAACCAAGAAATTGCAGAAATAACAAGAGAAGAATTAGACAACTCACAAAAAGAAAATGAGACACAAAAACAAATAATATCAAAACAACAAGATGATATTGAAAATTTTATCTCACAGAAGGAACTAGAGAAGAAGAAAACGATGACACTTGTGATAAATACACAACCAGTACTGAGGAAAACATCATCAGGAACGATGGAAATGAACGAAACTACTCCTATGAAAAAGACAGTAGTGGAAATCGAAGAAGAAAGCAAAGCATTGATTGTCAAAAAACAAGAGATGATAGTCAGACAAGAAATACAACAAAACAAAGAAATAGAATTTTAATTGAAGTGTTGTATTGTTTTGCAATTAATTGGTTGAATAAGAAATTATATAAGAAATTAAGATGGGAACAAATTGAAAGTATAATAAAAGCAATAAATATCAATGTCAATAATGAAAAAGAATATATTAAATATATTAAAATATCACATAAAATAAAAGAAAGCACTAAACGATACATTAGAGTGAAAGTAAATGATATAATGGAAGGAAGAGTAGAGTGTAATTCAATAATAAAAAACATCATATTAAAGAATAACTCTACAGAAATTGATGAAGAATACCTTAACATTATTATCAATAAAATAAAAGAAATGAAAATAGAAAATGTACAAACATTAATTACTACTGGAAAAGAAAAGAAGCTGACCGATTAATAATGGAAATTAATAATAGATGGATAATATCAAGAAGCAGAATGCATGAAGTGGAAGATGATATGAAGAGGATTTCAATGGTTATGCACCTCTATCTCCAAAATAAAATAATAGGAGACAAATTTGATGAAATAAAAGAAATCCTAAAGAAAATTAATAGACTAGAAGATTTGGTCAAGGGAAGGAAATGGTACAGAATCAAGTGCAACATGAAATTAAAAGAACATGATGAAGAAGGAATAAAAGTTAAAGCACTAGAAAGAATAAAGTACCTAAAATATATGATGAGAATGATCAAAGAAAGAATTAAATTTAATAAAAATGAAATAATCAGAATCAATACAAATAAAATCATGTTTGATTCTAACAAGAAAATTAGAATAAGGAAGAAAGACCCAAAAAATGAAATATACCCAAATAACGATATTACTTTAGAATATTGGAAATCGTTATATGAAACACAGGTGAAATTAAATAAAGAGAATTGGAAAATAAAACAAATCACCTCGTGGAATGAAAGATATAGAAATTATGATAGTGTCATTATAACATTAAATGAATTATTTAAGTATAATGAGAATAAATAACTGGAAAGCACCAGGAATAGACACTATATATTTGTATTATTGGAAAAGGATGTCATCATCAAGAGAAGCCATTCTCAGTATCTTCAATGAATGGTTAAACTTCCCCGAAAACATCCCATTAGACATGGTAAGTGGAAGAACTTTATTAATCCACAAAGGAGGAGATAGGAACGACGTCACTAATTATCGTCCTATCAGTTGTACAAATGTAATTATGAAAGTATTTACCTCCATATTAAAAGAAAAGATTCACAGAAGACTTAACATGAATTGTGAATCATTTAAAATTAGTAGAAATCAATTGGGATGTAAGTTACAATCTTTAGCTGATAAAGAAGGAATAATTAATAGTTATATGATGAAGCAGAAGAAAGAAGAAAAATACCCAAAATATGTGGAGTCATATTATGACATCAAGAAAACATATGACACTGTCAACCACGAATGGGTAATTGAATCATTAAAGTATTTTAATGTAGAGGGTGTCATCATTGACATTATTGAAAGTATGATGACTAGATGGAAGATATTCATCGGCTATAAATTTAATGAATATCTATGATATATTAAATTAAATAGAGGAATTTTACAAGGTGATTCCTTATCAAATCTACTATTCATCATGAAGATTATTATAATTTCTCAAATCATCGAAGAGAAATTCACAAAATCAAATCACACATTATATATGGATGATTTGAGAATAATGACAGAAAGTAGTGAAGAAATGGGAATAATTAACAATGAAATTAAAGAAATAATAAGTGGAATAGGGATGGAAATGAATGAAAAAAATCAGGATTGGTATTAAAAAACATTAAAGAAATACCAGATGGAATGCAAAACATCCCAGTAGTTGAATTTGATGATTTGTATAAATACTTAGGAATATGGCAGTCCGATGAAATTGATGACACCTTCAATTGTAAAATCATCAAAGAAAAAATGAATCAAAAGATGGAAGAAATAAACACTGATGATAGCAGTAATAGAAGATATATTACTAGAATAAACACGGAAGTAATCAATATCTTCAGATATTCAGCATCAGTTGTAAATTGGAAAATCACTTAGATAAAATTGATTTGGATATAAGAAAATAAATAAGAAATGGAAAATACAATGATTCAACTCCAAAGATAGGTTATATGTCGTTATAGAAGAAATGGGTGAATGATTAATAAATATAAGGGACGAATATGTTAATGAAATAATTAGAACAATAATGTACTACTGTACCAGAGAAAGTGAAATTGGAAATAACATATTAGATAGATGGTACAGTAAGAAAGGAATATGGAATAGAATTAAAAACAATAAGTCATAAAATCCCAGAAACAAAAATAGAAGAAATAATAAATGAAGGGATAGAAAAGAAAAAAGAAAAAGAAGTAGTAGTAGAAATAAAGAAATTAATGATAAATACATCAAAAAATGGAAGTGTCATTAAACAAGTAGATATTTTAGAAGATGGTTCGAGTCAAAAGGAGTAGATAAAACTACTACAGTAAAAGCATGGAAGTCCATCAATATTAAGAAAAATTCATTTCTCCAATTAACTAAAATGCAAGATGGTGCAATATTTTGTGGGTATAGAAAATCAAAAATAATGAAAAATGAAAGACTGAAATACTGCCCACTATGTAAAGACAAGATAGCTACAGTAGAACACATTCTACTATCTTGCATTGGTCATAAAAAATCACAAATGGAAAAACATGACCATATTGGCATTATAATATGGGAGGGATTAATAAGAAAATACACAGGAAATAAACAATATAAAAAACCTCCATATGAAACAGTGTTCAAATATAAAGACATCACAATGATATGGAACAAACAAATAATGCCTAAAAGTGATGACAATATCACAAAATACCAGACATATA